TTTAAGATTTGTGTGGAATCAGAAAAGACCCCGAATAGCCAGGGGAATTTTAAAAAAGAAAACTGTAGCTGGGGGCATCACAATGCCAGATTTCAGGTTGTACTACAAAGCTGTGGTCATCAAGACAGTGTGGTACTGGCACAAAAACAGACACATAGATCAATGGAACAGAATAGAGAATCCAGAAGTGGACCCTCAACTTTATGGTCAACTAATATTCGACAAAGCAGGAAAGACTATCCAAAGGAAAAAAAGTCTCTTCAATAAATGGTGCTGGGAAAATTGGACATCTACATGCAGAAGAATGAAACTAGAGTACTCTCTTTCACCATACACAAAGATAAACTCAAAATGGATGAATGATCTAAATGTGAGACAAGATTCCATCAAAATCATAGAGGAGAACACAGGCAACACCCTTTTTGAACTCAGCCACAGTAACTTCTTGCAAGATACATCCACGAAGGCAAAAGAAAAAAAAGCAAAAATGAACTATTGGGACTTCATCAAGATAAGAAGCTTTTGCACAGCAAAAGAAACAGTCAACAAAACTTAAAGACAACCTACAGAATGGGAGAAGATATTTGCAAATGACCTATCAGATAAAGGGCTTGTATCCAAGATCTATAAAGAACTTATTAAACTCACCAGCAAAGAAACAAACAATCTAATCATGAAATGGGCAAAAGACATGAACAGAAATCTCCCACAGGAAGACATAGACATGGCCAACATGCACATGAGAAAATGCTCTGCATCAGTTGCCATCAGGGAAATACAAATCAAAACCACGATGAGATACTATCTCACACCAGTGAGAATGGGGAAAATTAACAAGGCAGGAAACAACAAATGTTGGAGTGGATGTGGAGAAAAGAGAACCCTTCTGCACTGTTGGTGGGAATGTGAACTGGTGCAGCCACTCTGGAAAGCTGTGTGGACATTCCTCAAAGAGTTAAAGATAGATCTGCCCTATGACCCAGCAATTGCACTGCTGGGGATTTACTCCAAAGATACAGATACAATGAAACGCAGGACACCTGCACCCTGATGTTTCTAGCAGCAATGTCCACAATAGCCAAACTGTGGATGGAGCCTTGGTGTCCATCAAAAGATGAATGGATAAGGAAGATGTGGTATATGTATACAATGGAATATGACTCAGCCATTAGAAACGACAAATACCCACCATTTGCTTCGACGTGGATGGAACTGGAGGGTATTATGCTGAGTGAAATAAGTCAATCGGAGAAGGACAAACATTATATGGTCTCATTCATTTGGGGAATGTAAAAAATAGTGAAAGGGAATAAAGGGGAAAGGAAAAAAATGAGTGGGAAGTATCAGAAAGGGAGACAGAACATGAGAGACTCCTAACTCTGGGAAACGAACTAGGGGTGGTAGAAGGGGAGGTGGGCGGTGGGTGGGGGTGACTGGGTGATGGGCACTGAGGGGTGCACTTGATGGGATGAACACTGGGTGTTATTCTGTATGTTGGCAAATTGACCACCAATAAAAATACATTTATAGGACATTTTTAAAAATTTAAAAAAATAAAAAATTATTAAATAATAAAATGTATGCTTCCTAATAATTTTTAAAATTTAAATTATATTTGTTCTAATATGCTTCTGACTTGACCTGTTGTTGTCTACAATCAGAAAAAAAGTTTTATATCACTGAGGTTATACTATATTTATTATTTGACACACATAGCATGTTCAAAAGGAACTGTAAAAATGTGATTTTCCTTCCCTCTCCAAACTGTTTCATTTGTGAATATTGTTCAGTGTGTGCAGTAGGTGGAATATGACCAAGAAAAATATATGTTTTGGGTCAAGTGTTTCTATGATGCTGACTCGGGCATCTGACTTTTGGCACACTTCAATGTTCTTTACAAACACTGTATCAGTGGAGAACAGGAACAAATTACATGCCTGGGTTCCACTGATAATGTGACCACTATATCAGTTTGCCTGTGACTGAAGTTTTTCCCTGGGGATGTGGGATTTTCATTGCTAAACCCAGGGCATATCTTGGAAAATTGAGATGTTTGGTGTGGTAAACTAAATTCTAATATAATTCTTAAGGCTTAATGTATATATCCTCTATGATTTCCACCCCTTTAAGTATGAGCAGGAACTGGGAATGGGATATCACTATCACGATTACGGTACTAACCAGTTGATTTACAGCTAATCATGATGGAGATTATCCTAGGTAGGTGTGGTGTAATCCTGTGGGCTCTTCAAAAAGGGACTAAGTCACTCCTGAAAAGATTCTACTCCAGACCTTGAAGAAGCCAGCCACCATGAGTTTGATAGCCATAGTCAGAAGGAATTGAACTCTGTCAGCAACCGGTGAGCTTAGAGCAGGAACTTGAGCCCCAGATGAGATCACAGCCCCAGCCAACACCTTGATTTCATTCTGGTGAGATGCTAAGCAGATGACCCAACTAAGCTGTTCCTGGCACCTGACCAATGGAAATGGTATTTCTTTAAAACCATTAATTTTGTGGTAATTTGTTATACAGCAATTAAAAAAAAACTAATAGTATTGTTTTTTTCTGCTCCAGAATGGAACAAAATTTATGGATTTGTCACCATTTCTTAGACCTAAAACAGATCACTTTTCTTGACTTTCAGCATTGTTGTTCTAAGAATCGCATGCTTAAAGTGTGACAGAGCCAATTACCATGCATAAAAAAACCAGGAAGGGTATGTAGAATGAGCAGAAGGTACCAGGAAGGAAGTGAATGGGAGTGGCTTTTCAGCACTTAAAAAAATGAATGGCATCCCATGCGGAAAGGAAGGATTGACTAGAATATATAGCAGGGAGGGGTAGCAAAAGTTAAACACATTTTTTACAAAGCAGTATAAAGAGCAGTGTTTTCAAGCTCTGGTTAGTGACCAACTAATGAATTGTAAAATTAATTGAGTAGGTTGCAACTAGCAATGCAAGATATAATAGACTTGTCTATACTAGAAAATAAGCAAATATTTTTGGCACTTTTTTTTTAATAATAAACTAGTGTCATGGGGATACATAAATGCCTTCTCAGAAAATGGTGAGGCAAGAAAATCAGGATCTAGAAACTGACCTGAAGTAGGGACCACACAGGGCAGAACAGGATGTAACATATATTGGCATAGTTTTCTCATGGCTCAAGTTCCCTAAGATTTCATTGACCACACATATTGTGGCCCTAGTGGGTCTGAGAAAATGGCTGGATCTGAGAAAATAGGGAAACTTTTTTCATAAACTAAATTTTTATCTGTGGGACTTACCACACTTTTCTGAAATAATTTATCCTGACAGTCATGTATTTTGCTTTGAAGAGACTGTTTATATACCCATGTTCTATTAGTTCTTGGACAAAATAACTGAGAACAGACACATCCTTATATGGGGAAATAGTGTCTTCTGTTTTCAGGGACTCCATGAAACTCATTTCCCGATAATTTCCTAGGTGCTAAATAGTGGGTTAACCACTTTAAAGATTCTAACTTGGTTAATTCTTACAACAAGCAAGTAAGGCAAACATTATTTTCATTTTGTAGATGAAAAAGCAAGACTCAGAGTGGTTAAATAACTAGAACAAAGTCAGTTAGTAAACTGCAAAGCTGGGATATTCTATTAGTTAAGGCTCTGTGGAGAAACAAAACCAATAGAATGTGTATATTTCGAGAAGTGATTTATGATAAGGAATTGGCTCAGGCAATTATAATGGCTTACTAGTCCAAATCTACAGTGTGAGCTGGCAGTAATTGAGATCCTGAAGAGCCAATGGTACAGATAAAGTCCAGAAACAGTCTTCTGGAAAATTCTTTCTTGCTCTGGGAGGGTTTTGTTGTTGTTCTATTCAAGCTTACAACTGATTGGATAAGGTACATTAACATAACAAAAGGCAATATACTTACTCAAAACCCAATGATTTAAATGTTAATGTCATCCAAAAACAACTTTCAAGTTCACACAGAAAATTAACCATCAAAAAAAATAAAAAATAAAAATAAAAATAAATAAAAAGAAAATTAACCATCACAGATATGAACCCAGGAAGTCTGATTATGCAGAGCTCTGAATACTTTTGAACATTTAACATAAAAATGTCTATTATTATTTTCAGTTATTTAAACCTTGTAACAATCTTATGAGGGGAATACTATTATTATCCTTATTTTACAAATGAAGAGAATGAGGCTCAAAGAGAAGAATTTTGCATGCAGTTACACAGCATGTAAATGTTAGGGCTAGAATTTGAATATAGATATTACCCATCTTTGCTTTTACAAAAGACCTACATTAGTATGGTAACAGCTTTTTTCTGTAAAAGTGAAAATCCTCTCAGACTTACTTTGGCTAGCAAAACCAGGTATTAATGCAAGTCTTTCTTAAAGATGAAGTGGCTTAATGCAAACTTTTGGAATACAGAGGATACTCTTTGCTTTATACAGTATAAAAAAGGTTTATGAAACCTTTCAGCTTATGAAAGATTGCACAGAGATGTTCTAAATTTGAATAGTGGGAGAAACTGTAGAGGTTTTCTAAATAAAAATCCTGCTTTTTCTCTTTTACCATACCATGTCCAAGGTAATTTGAAGTGATTGGGATTTTTTTAATAAGGAGTGGTAGAAAATACGTTATATAAATAATCTGATGATTTTACTAAAATTACATGACCATATTTATATTTATATATAATATAATTATATTTATGCCATATATATACTAATTATATATTTATACCACTCTGTTTTTCCTTTGAAAACACATGTTCTTTGGTATACTCTGGAGATCATAATTAAAATTAATATGTGAGCATGTATCTGTTAATCTTCTAGAAGTTACACATGTGCTATGATTATCCTCATTTTATTTTTTAATTTAAATTCAATTAATTAACATATAGTGTATTATTAGTTTCAGAGGTAGAGTTCAGTGATTTGTCAGTCTTATATCCAGTGCTCATTATATCACGTGCTCGCCTTAATGTCCAAAAAAATATGGAATGCTTCATGAATTTGCATGTCATCCTTGCACAGGGGCCATGCTAGTCTCCTTTATATTGTTCCAATTTCAGTATATGTGCTTCCAAAGTGAGCACTGTCCTCATTTTACAGATGAGGAAAATGAGACAGTGATGTGTATGGCAGAGCCAGGACTCAAATCCAGGCAGTCTTATTTTGGATCCTGGCCTTTTCATCTTTATAATGTACTACCTGTGTTAATAACATGCAATTTTGCAGAATTACTACTACTAGTAAGCATAGAAAAATTCAGGACATGGTATTTTCAACACATCTGTGAAAGGTATAGAGCCATAAATAAGGTAAAAATAAAAGCAGTTAGGGAAGTTTCAAAAATATAACTAAGGTTCATAGGCAAAAAAAAAAAGAACAAAAGAAAAGGAAAAAAGAGAGGGGGAGGGAGGGAGGGAGGAAGGAAGGAAGAAAGAAAGAAGGAAGGAAAGAAGGAAGGGAAAATTTATGTGAATGTAATTTTAGATATTAATTCCATATTTCTAATTGATGATGAAAGAGTGGATGTCCCAGTTCTGGAGACATTTAAAATTGCATAGTGCATTAGATGATATAACTTTTCAGGGAGCAATAATTCCTGTCCCCTCAAAGACTTTTGTAGCTGGACTAAGAATCAAATTGACATGAGACATATTAAGAGAAAAAAATCAAATGTAATAGGTGTACATACAGGGAATCCACATAGATATGGAAATTCTAAAGACAGGCAAAATGAGGTATAGATGTCCTTCTGTACTAAGAAGAAGAGGGTAAGGGTCTGGGATTTCAGAGGAAAGGAATGTATCTCACAGGGTGATAAGAACATATGTTTGGTAATTAGATGTTTGTTTTTCCTCCCATACAGATGGGTCACCCAGGTAAAATTTATCTCAGTTAATAACCCTTATTCTGGGAAAGACTCCCAATTTATATTCTTCTATGTAGTTAAAGGGGAGGAGGCAGACGTTTCTTTTGAGCCTGCAGGGTCTCAAGTGCTTTCAGCTCAAAATAATCCACATTCCGAAGTACACGTTATGGATGGAGGACCTGTCCTGAACCCCTTTAGTATCCCCATTTGTTTCTTTTTATTTTTTTAATAAATTATTTTTTATTGGCAATGTGATAAATCATATCAACAAGAGAAAAAACAAGAACCATAGGATCCTCTCAATAGATTCAGAGAAAGCCATTTGACAAAATACAGCATCCATTCCTGATCAAAACTCTTCAAAGTGTAGGGATAGAGGGAACATTCTTCAGCATCTTAAAAGCCATCTATGAAAACCCCACAGCAAATATCATTTTCAATGGAGAAACACCTAGAGCCTTTCCCCTTAGATCAGGAACACGACATGGATGTCCACTCTCACCAGTGTTATTCAAAATAGTACTAGGAGTCCTAGCCTGCGTGATCAGGCAACAAAAAGAAATAAAAAGCATTCAAATTGCCAAAGACGAAGTCAAACTCTCCCTCTTTGCAGATGACATGATACTGTACATATAGAACCCAAAAGACTCCACCCCAAGATTTCTAGAACACATACAGCAATTTTGCAGTGTGGCAGGATACAAAATCAATGCCAGAAATCAGTGGCATTTCTCTTCACTAACAATGAGACTGAAGAAAGAGAAATGAAGGAATCAATCCCATACTACAGAACACTTCTGAAAGAAATTGAGGAAGACACAAAGAGATGGAAAAATATTCCATGCTAATCAAATGGAAGAATTAATATTGCAAAAATGTCAATGCTAACCCACGTCAATTTACAGATTTAATGCAATCCCTATGAAAATATCATGGGCTCTCTTCAGAAAGTTGGAAGAAATCATCTTAAGGTTTATGTGAAATCAGAAAAGACCCCAAATAGCCAGGGGAATATTGAAAAAGGAACCCAGAACTGGGAGCGTCACTCTGCCAGATTTCAGGTTCTACTACAAAGCTTTGGTCATCAAGACAGTGTGGTACTGGTACAGAAACAGACACATAGATCAATGGAACAGAATAGAGAATCCAGAAATGGCCCCTCAACTCTATGGTCAACTAATAGTCGACAAAGGAGGAAAGACTATCCACTGGACAAAAAAACAGTCTCTTCAATAAATGGTGCTGGGAAAATTGGACATCCACATGCTGAAGAGTGAAACTAGATTATTTCCTTACACCATACACAAAGATAAACTCAAAATGGATGAAAGATCTAAATGTGAGACAAGAATCCATCAAAATCCTAGAGAACATAAGCACCACCCTTTTTGTACTTGGCCACAGCAACTTCTTGCATGATACATCTATGAATGCTAGGGAAGGGATCCCTGGGTGGCTCAGCGGTTTAGCACTTGCCTTCGGACCAGTGGGTGATCCTGGGTACCCAGGATTGAGTCCCACATTGGGTTCCCTGCATGGATCCTGCTTCTCCTTCTGCCTGTGTCTCTGCCATTTTCTTTCTGTCTCTCATGAATAAATGAATTTTTTTAAAAAAAGGCTAGGGAAACAAAAGCAAAAATGAACTATTGGTATGTAATCAGGATAAAAACTTCTGCACAGCAAAAGAGTCAACAAAACTAAAGGACCACCTACAGCATGGGAGAAGATATTTGCAAATGACATATCAGATAAAGGGCTAGTATCCAAATCTATAAAGAACTTATGAATCTTGACACCCAGGAAACAAACAATCCAATCATGAAATGGGCAAAAGACATGAGCAGGAATGTCACCAAAGAAGACATACACATGGCCAAGAAGCAAATGAGAAAATGCTCCACATCACTTGCCATCAGGGAAATACAAATCAAAACCACAATGAGATACCCCCTCACACCAGTGAGAATGGGGAAAATTAACAAGAAAGGAAACAATATATGTTGGAGAGAATGTGGAGAAAGGGGAACCAGCTTGCATTTTTGGTGGGAATGTGAACTGGTGCAGCCACTCTGGAAAACTGTGTGGAGGTTCCTTACAGTGTAAAAAAATAGAACTGCCCTACGACCAAGCAATTGCTCTACTCGAGATTTATCCCAAAGATACAGATGTAGTGAAATACTAAGACACCTGCACCCCTTTATTTATAGGACCAATATCCACAATAGCCAAACTGTGGAAGGAGCCTTGGTGTCCATCGAAAGATGAATGGATAAAAAGGTGTGGTATATATATATATATATATATATATATATATATATATATATATATAATGGAATATTACTCAGGCATTAGAAACAACTAATACCTACCATTTGCTTCGGCATGGATGGAACTGGAGTGTATTTTGCTGAGTGAAGTAAGTCAATTGGAGATGGACAATCATTATATGGTTTCACTCATATGGGGAATATAAAAAATAGTGAAAGGGATTATAGGAGAAAGGAGAGAAAACAAGTGGGAAAAATAAAGAGTTACAAAACGTGAGACTCCTAACTCTGGGAAATGAACAAGTGGTAGTGGAAGGGGAGGTGGGCGGGGGATGGGGTGACTGGTTGACAGGCACTGAGGGGGCAATTGATGGGATGAGACCTAGCTGTTATACTATATGTTGGCAAATTGAACTCCAATAAAAAATTTTAAAAATATTGATCAAGGATAAAGTAGATATGGTATATATACACAAGGGAATGTTAATCACCCATAAGAAAAAATGAAGTGTTGCCATTAGTGACAACATAGGTGGACCTAGAGATTATTATGCTAAGTGAAATAAGTAGAGATTGGCAAACACTGTATGATTTTACTTATATGTGGAATCTAAAAAACAAAACAAAAATAGCAAAAAAGAAAAAGACATAGAGAACAAACTTGTGATTTACAGAAAGGAGGAAGGTAAGAGGTTAGGGAATAGGTGAAATAGATGAAGGAGAGTGACAGGTACAGATTTTCAGTTATAAAATAATTCAGGGGGATGAAAATTCTAGCATCAGGAATATAATCCATAATATAATAACTTTATTATCAGAAAGGGAAACAGAACATGAGAGACTCCTAACCCTGGGAAACGAACAAGGGGTGGTAGAAAGGGACATGGGCAGGGGGTGGGGGTGACTGGGTGACAGGCACTGAGGGGGGCACTTGATGGGATGAGCACTGGGTGTTATGCTATATGTTGGCAAATTGAACTCCAATAATAAATAATAAATACATAAATAAATAATAAATAAAATAATTTTATATGGTTACATAGGGTGATACAATTATCCTGGCAAGGATTTTGTAATGTGTATAATTGTCAAATTGCTTTTCTCTACACCTGAAACTAATGTAATATTATATGTAACTATACTTCAATTTAAAGAAAAAAGTTGTTGGGTAGCCCTGGTGGCCCAGCCATTTAGTGCCACCTTCAGCCCAGGGCATGATCCTGAAGACCCGGGATCAAGTCCCACATCAGGCTTACTGCATGGAGCCTGCTTCTCCCTCTGCCTGTGTCTCTGTCTCTGTCTCTGTCTCTCTCTCTCAGTGTCTCTCATGAATAAATAACTAAAATCTTAAAAGAAAAGAAATAGAAAAAAGTTGTTCAACATCATGAGTCATTGGGTAAATGAAAATCAAATTTATAATTATATATCCCTTTGCACCCACTAGAATGGCTTAGAAAACAGTAACTTATATTTGTGAGGATGTAGCTATGTTGGATATCATTCACTACTAGTGAGAATTGAAATTTTACAGCCAGATTGGAAAATGTCTGACAGTTTCTCAAAAATTTAGTTGACATATGACCCAACAATTGCATTATTCAAGAGAAATGAATACATACATCCACACAAAACCTTGCATAGAAATGTTGAAAGTAGCGTTATTCATAATAGTCAAAAAGTGGAAACAGCTCAAATGTTTATTAATTAAAGAATGGATTTAAAAAGTTGTACTTTTTACAATGAAATGTTATTTAACAAAACAAAAATACAGTTCTGATACATGCTATAACATGGACAAAACTTGAAAACCTTATGCTAATTGAAGGGTGATAAAAAAGAACACCTACTATATGATTTCATTATATAAAATTCCTAAAATGGGCAAATCTATGGAGAGATAAAGGAAGTTAGTTGTTGCCTGAAACTATGAGTGGTGTGGTAAAATAGGGGT